ATAGGTGAGACAGAAAGGAACATTTAACGATGATTAACAAAAACTAACAAGAAACTAAAACTACAAACTATAAGTAGATTAATGAAACAGATAAACAGTGGAGAAAAAAAACTGGAGGGTCTCACCCAGGAGCAGAGATATTACACCACGTTTCATTTGCACGAACGGTCACTCCCGGGGAGACCCATTAAACATGGTAAAGAACTTCATGACAAAAAAAAATACAAACTTTGGGCAGAAGGATTACATTGAGAAAATTAAGACACAAAACATGATTTAAGACTTTATGACTCACTGAATTAAAACCAAAGTATAATCGAAGTAAAGTTTATGTGGTATAATAGATCAAACACAAATTACAGCAAGAAGCAATAGGGTAAGAAAGGTCCGCGTCACGGGGCAGTGGGATCCCCTCGCTCGAAAAAGCGAGCAGCCGTTCCGGACTTAGGCCGTTAGGAAGAAAAAAGCAAAGAAGGCGGTGATTAGATCAGCCATGTTATCTCGTCGTTAACTACTGTAAAAAGAGAGTTTTTTATATACCATTTTTTGAAAAAAAAACAGATCAAGAGAGGAGTTTAAGCGGTGATAGTGATATTCGATGACGATTTTTTATTTTAGGCGGTGGGACCATTCGAGAAGAGGATCGGAAAAGGCGGTAGAGCGATAGGACCAGTAGATGACGTTTTTAAGGCTGACGATGAGATAATTTGCGAGTTTGACCACGTCCCTGGCGTTTGGGATCAGAACCCATTAGAGGTCAAAGTTGAGACGGAGATCGGGAAGAAGACGGGAGAGCGGGGTATGTGGTAGGTTGAGGGCTGGTTGGATGGCAGGGCACAGGATGAAGAGGTGGACGACAGTTCCTTCTTCTCCGCACCATCCGCAGGAGGGGGAGATGTCAGAGTTGAGATGATGAAGAACAGGGAGAGAAGGCAGGAAGTTGTGAAGCAGACAGAACTGAACGTCGCCTTCTTTCTTGGAAACAGGGAGCTTGTAGATCTGATTCCCGGGATGGAGAAACTACAGTTCTTTAAAAAGCCGAGTCGATGCCAGTGGGTGATTGCGGTAGGAGGCCTGAGAGTTGACAGAAACGTCGAAGATGTCGTAGAGAGTCTTTGAAGATAGCAAGAGTCCGTTGAGGTCGGGAGCGATGAAGAAGGGTATCAGGGTGTCTGGAAAGCTGGGGACGGTGCGGAGAGGAGTCGGAGGAGTGAGCAGACTGGAGAAGCCAAAGAGCGAGGGAAAAGAAGAGCCGAGGGCGAGATGCAGACGGTAAAGCAACTTGTCAATGAAGAAGAAGCCAAAAAAAAAGAACAAAACGAATGCCTTATTCGCAACTTGCGAAAAAGCCAAAAAACACAACAAAAAGAATGCTTTTTACACAAAATTGCGAAAATGCCAAAAAACAGAACAAAAAGAATGACTTTTTCGAAACTTGCGAAAAAGCCAACAAGAGTAACTTTTTTTCGCAAAATTGAGTGAAAGCCAAAAAAGAACAAAGACTGGTATTTCGAAAGAGTATAAAAAAAGGAAGAGAAGTAATGCCTTTTTGCAAAATTCGAAAAAGCCAAAATAGAATGAAGCAAAAAAATGACAGAAATAAAGGCTTTTAACAAAACTGCAAAAAGCCAATCATGACAAAATAGGGCTTTAATTTTCACGAAATTGCAAAAAGGCAAAAAACAAACAAACACAAAAAACTACTGCCTTTCTCGGAAAATTGCGAACCCCCCACCCCCCCAAAAAGGAGTAAAAAGAATGTGTTTTGCAATAATTATGAAAAAGCCAGTTATTACTTTTAGGAAGGAAACCTTTTTTTTTTAATTCGCTTCGTTTTGCATTGGCACCCATTTTCGTCATTTCCTGTGTTTTCACAGTACTTAGCGCCAAATTCCAAACTTTTGTCGAATTCCCCTCAGTTCGTTGGTGATACTGTCTTGTAGATATTTAGCTCATTTCTTCAAGATCGAGAGCCATTTGTGTGAAATACGGTTTGTTTTCGTACGGATTCAAATTTCCGCACCGAGTCCGACAGCGGTCAATGTCCGGATTTTGGGCATGGATTACACATACACGCGCACACACCTGGTTGTGTGCGTGATCAGTGCGAGTTTACTTTTCCTGTGTTGTACTAATACTTACAGTAACGTCAAATTTACCGACTAAAAGGAACAAACAAAAACTTTCCGTTCTCATAAATACGGTGCATCTGGCATGATACTTTCTCATTATACCGTTCATGATGGTGTTCCTTACCACTCAAAAGTAGAGAAATGTCAGGGAAACCCCGGCAAAACTGGAAAAATCCCCTCTGAAATGTTGGCTTCACTTCCAATTCTGACTCTCTTACTTTGGAGGTACGTAAAAAAGACGGGCAAAAATTTGGCAGAAAATGGATTTTTATCTTGTACAAGTTAGCAAAAGGGATTTTGAGTGTTTAAGTATTAATCAATATGGAAATGAGGAGCAAACAACTATCTGAGCTTGATGTTGGTCGATTACTATTGGGGTCCACTTGTCCAAGTCAAGAGCCATCTTACTGCCTTCTCGCTGCAGTGGGATTCAGTACGCATGCGCACAAACTAAGTGAGGGGCATGAACGTGATACGTGCCAGCTGTGATCCACTGGGACGTTAGAAACGGCAAGCACTGCGTTTAAAGAAAAAGTTAAAGAAGGGTCTGGGCCATTTTTCTTGAAAGTATGCTCTAATGCACATAATAGACCCAGCACGATCGTGACATCACAAGAAAAAAGGTCCGAATGTGCATGCACTATCCAGATTTTATTATAGAAGTTTTTCACCCACGTGACAAAATGTAAACAATACCACCACGTGCGGACCGCCTTGGCCACGTG